AATAGATATACGGTAATTGAATGTAATGCTGCAGATAACTTGTTTAAATGTATAACTTCTTAACTAAACAGATGTGGTGTTTAAACACACACTAATGCAACAATATGAATTTTGTGTACGACCTACATATGTATCTAATCAGACATGTCTTGAGTGTCACAGTTCTGGCACATATAAATTGCCTGGCCTGAGGTGCAAACATCGCAGGCCCATTTGTTGCATTTCACACACTTAAACAATGTCTTCTTTCAAATATTGTATGAAAATGGCTCCACATAGATGAGGCCAAAAGAGATATCGGCGGCTTAAGTCAAAATTCTTGCTGTACTTCTGATTGATTTGTTCTTCAACATCACCTGCCTGACTGCCTTTAACATTATGTCAGGCGGTGTACTGTCATTCTCTGTCTTCTGTTGATAATTTTCTTCCTTCCTTCAAAAACACATTCCTCCTTGCAATTACAAATAAATTACAAGCTTATTTGTCTGCTACCCTTGTTGCCTAACTAAATTAATAACTGGATCATGTAGTGTGTGTGTGTGTGTGTGTTTGTGTTTGTATCTACTAACACACTACATGCCTACGGTATAAGACCGTAAATACTCTGTCATGAATTCAGTCTTGTCCAGGCATATGGCTGCTGCTGTAAACTACAGTGTGTAATATTCTATTTACAGTATCATTTAATACTTGTGTCAGAGGTAATTACACAATTTCATATAGTTTTTTGAGCATGTTCTATGTGTTTATTTGTACTGGGACAAGTAATAACGTGTGACGACTTTCCCCAAAGTCATTGAGACAACTTGCCCAAACTGACATGTGTGCTAATGTTGGCTAAATCTCAAGGTTAGCTTAACATAGCACTTCAACTGAAGTATCAAAAGACATGTTTTGTCATTTTGTCTCCTCTACTTTGTGCAAAGTTATCATTTTGAACATTCATACCTAATAGGTTGGAATACATAAAACGTAAAGTGCAAATGTTTTACTTTTGAAGCAAAATAATAATAAAATTATATTCACCTCAGATTAGAGTGACCTTGACCACATGTGAACAGGAAGTTGAAAGTTTGATTTCTGACATAGAGCCTCTAGTGTTAGAGTTATGAGCAGTGTGACAACTTACACACGAGACAACTTACCCCGCTCTCCCCTATGTACGCACGGTTTTGTAAGTCTGAATATTTTTTGATGTAGGACATTTATGGCTTTTGCATGTACACTTAGTGATGATTATATGCAGTTTTATAAATGAGACCCCAGATGTGTTCACAGGGGTATAGCACGAAATTCTGGGCCCTATAGGCTACAAGTCTCTGAAGGCCCCCTATTAAACCCTAATATTGAGAGAGGCTTATGGTGCTTTCAGACCAAAGGTGAAGCGAGAGTTTACATACAAAGTCAATGCAAAGACAAGTAGAGCCGTGATTTCCTTTCGGGCGGGGCGAAGCGACGCGAAGGGGGCGGTGCTGGCGATGCGAATATTTTAAACTCAAGCAAGAAATTCGCATGGCGCTGAGTCACGATAGCCTATCAACGTTGAGATAGTCCGTTCGTCACCGTCAGCTTCAGAGCATTGTGTGGAGAGGGCCAGGCAGAGCGGGCGATTGAAAATTGGGCTAGAGGAGCAGGGAGCAGCGCTCCAGGTTTCGGACAAATAAACACCCGTGGTCGGACTGGGTTTTTCTCTGACAACTGCTGTTTGCTCAAGGGAGGAGCTCGGAGTAAACTGCTTTTATTAAATTAGCTTTTTACTTTAGTTTTTGGGATTACAACGTTGATTTTTCGAGCTTCTCAGCAGCTAGATTCCGTGCAATTCCGGTTCCAGTGTTAGCGTCGTTTGGCACTACTTCATATTTATATAAAAACCGGACAAAACTGGACATTGCTGAGAGAAAAGAAAGCGAGGAGGTCCAACTACCTGGTGAGTTAAGAAAACATGTGTATGTAACTTTATTCCAGCTATCGTTGTACTTTACTGGGACCAACTTACCATAGCATAGCCCTGATCGATCTGAACTCCATTCAGAAAACAAACATTTTATCAGATGTTGTCCTGCTGTCTTGCTGACAGACCTGACAAAGCATGAATTCATATGTTTAACATATCTGCATCATGTTGTAGTTATTCGGCATCAGTTTAATCCGTTTATTGCTATTTAATCACAGCAAAATGTTTACTTTGGGTTCATACAGTTGTAGTAAAGGCGAGTTATGTTTATTCACGTTATCGCCTTAAAATCTTCTCCCGTTGTGTGAACACTTGCAGCGAATGTACCTCTCGCACCTGCTCACCACCTGATCATGCACTCCTATCATGCCCACTGGCATCAACCAATGAAAACCCACTCTTAAGACTCCAGCACAATTACCACAGATTTACAACTTGCATATACAACCCATAAACTCTTCATAACATGTCTTTAACTAAACATTATCTTAAAGTTATTTATCATACAACATATGTGCAACATACAACAGTTTTTAACAAAATACATCACCATATTTTTACCATCAATATGCAATGACTTTTAATATCAGTATACTATTTAGGTAGTGTGATCCAAATCAAAGCCGCTTCAGACTGCGACCGTAACCTAGCAGATGATATAAGTTACTTATTAATTTTTATCTATGTACTGTATATTTATTGTTATGTTGTAGCTGTTGTTGTTTTGTCTTGTTTTTTCTGTGTGCTATGGACCTTCCATTCTGAGTCCTGAATAAAGTCATTATTATTATTATTATATTACTCACAAGTCCACAACCACACCACATCATTGTTCCACATCTTACAATAAACCAAACTGGTGAGTTCAGAAAACATGTGTATGTAACTTTATTCCAGCTATCGTTGTATTTTACTGTGACCAAGTTACCATAGCATAGCCCTGATCGATCTGAACTCCATTCAGAAAACAAACATTTTAGAAGTTGTTGTCCTGCTGTCTTGCTGACAGACCTGACAAAGCATGAATTCATATGTTTAACCAAACTGCATCATGTTGTAGTTATTTCAGCATCAGTTTGATCTGTTTATTGCTATTTAATCACAGCAAAATGTTTACTTTGGGTTCATACAGCTGTAGTAATAGCGAGTTGTGTTTGTTCATGTTATCGCGTTAAAATCTCCTTCTCGAGATGTGTGTGAACACTTGCAGCAAATGTACTCACGCGAGGAAAGCATCGCGAGGCGAAAATTCGCGTTTGGTCTGAATGCGGCATTAGGCCTACTGTACCACTGTGGTTCGAATTACGGGGGTCTTTTTTTTTACCTGTAATTATACATATTACAATATATTTACCATATTCTTGCCTTATAGTCAAGAATCTTGAAATACGATACACCCCTAAAATGGAATGTACCATTTCCTAGCTTTGATGTTAGTTGAACGTCTCTGCCCACATCACTAGCAGTGTCAGCTGCTCCAGTCCAGTCCACCTCATGCTGGTGGAGATACTGCAGGTTAATGTCAGTAGTTAGCTAGCTTATTCAATACAATTAACTTTCCTACCTTCAGAGTTTCGTAATTAGCATTTATTTTACTTTAAATGAGCAATGTGATGTTAGCTAGCTGATAGTCCATCATATCATTTCATTACCACTATATCATTTTATTTTTTACCTAACTGTCAGCTAACACTGGTGCTCAGGCATGAGCAGTGAAAGAGGATTAGTTATTGTTGATACACATTTTGACATCAATATAGAGTTTATTATTTCATTTTAAGTATTTTCTGAGTCTTTCTACAATAAGCATGATTTGTTTTCACTGTGGAATTCAGGAGTTTTACCTGGCCAGGTAAATGTTTAAATCCAGGTTTGTTATTTCAAATGTATTCAGTTTTATTTATATAGAGCCAATTCGTATTATAATCGTAATATAATTTACAGAGACCCAAAAATTCCCAATTCCCCAACAGTGAATGACAACTGCTTGAGTGAACGCAGATTACATTTCATTCACAGCCAACATGAGCAAGAGGAAAGGAGATATTTGCTAAAAAAAAAGTTGAAACTTATAGAGGTGGTATTATGGTATTTGGCTTTTTCCCTCTACTTTATTGAGTTAAATATCTTTTTTGTGCATGTAGCCTACTACGTTTGCAAAGTTAAAAAGCCCAAAGGGAGTTTCCATCTCACACAGAAAACACTGCTCTGAACTGCCTGAAAACAGCTCGTTCGTAGTCCAGCTTTACTTCCCTTTCTTGTGACATCACAATGAAAGTACGTGTCATAATGCTGCTGAGCTCCGACAAGCCTCAAAAACACTGAGTCGCAGCACACCTCTCCTCTCCCTTCCAAACACTAGCTACCCTCCAGACAGTCAATGGACATGAAGTTACTGTGATGTAGAGACAGAGCTCAGTTAAAACTTTGGATGAAAGATACTTTTGTTACAGGTTAGTAACTGACCACTCTGAAACTCTTGCTCCAGTCCAAATTGCCAACCTGCTCAGCAACATGTAGCCAATCAGCCTTTCTCTGCTCCTGATTGGCTATTAACGTCCTTTCGCTGGCCTGCCCTTCTCTGCTTCTGATTGGCTAGTAATCCTTAACTAGGAACTGCGCATGTGCAACTCCCAACAAAGATCATTTAGAGACAAGATGTATCACTCTGTAGCTAAAACAAAGCCTTCAACACAGGGTGAAAAGAGGAGCTGCAGCAATGTGCAGTTCCTAGTTAAGGACTATGACTACAAAACTTGTCGTGGGGTATGGGGAACCATGAACTGGTGTAATAAATTTGATTAATCATCATCTACACACTGCACACATTAGTTAAATAAGCAAGGATATTGTAAGCATTGTACAACTTTAGGTTACTGAACTGGGTTTCCTTATGACCTGGAAAAAAAGTCCCCCCCCCCTCTTTGTATAATTCGCTAAAATAAATCCTTGGAGATAATATTCATCCAAATAATGGCATTCTAAGAATGAAGAGTTTAAACACTGTCACAATAGCAACAATGTTTTTGTTTGTTTTTGTCCTCAGACGAAAAAGCCTGCCTCCCACCAGTGATACCAAATGCAATATACACAGAAAACCAAAATGGTTGGTATGAGGACAGATACGTTATTAGGATAACATGTGACAAAGGATATGAACCCAAAGGCCGGGATGTCACAGCCATATGTATAAATGGAACGTGGTCCTCTGTGCCGGTCTGTGAGAGTAAGTCTGTCAGATGTAATATCTAGTTTTCCAGTAAACTGTGAAAGTAGACCAGAATAATATCAGTGCTGTAATTCTTAGGTTTAAATTCTCACCAGTTGCACCAACCAAGCCACACATCTGAGCACCTTTACCTGTTGATGACTAATGGGTTTATTTTTACAGAAAGTATCCTTGCATGCGGTGAACCTCCTAAAATCCCCCATGCAGTCATCATTCATCAGAGATACCAGGAGATATTTGCTGTAGATTCAGAAGTGCAGTATGAATGTGAAGATGGATATACTGTAGAGGGAGCAGAAAAATCCATCTTTTGCATAGCTGGAACTTGGACTAAAGGACCACCGTGCAGTAAGTGGACAACTTTACCTTTTTATTAGATTTTATGTGTGTGTGTGTATGTGTGTGTGTGTGTGTGTGTGTGTGTGTGTATGTATGTATGTATGTATGTATGTATGTATGTATATGTATGTATGTATGTATGTATGTATATATATATCCTGGTTGCATATATTATTGTGTCTCAACATTATTGTCTTGTTTTTATGGTGCAAGGGTGGCTCCGTGGGAGCACCCTAAATTTCATTGTACCTTCACAGTGCAAGGACAATAAAGATTATTCTATTCTACTCTATGTGCTGAAAGATGCACTCAAGTTAGACGTGGTTAGATGGTAAATGCTCTTTTAAGACCGGCAAAAAAAATTGAAAATCAGATTATTTTTTTACTGAAACATTGTTCAGGCCACTTTCATGTCGGCGTTAGATTATGGTGATACAGCTCCGACTTCTGTTTTAAAAAGTCTGTGCTCTCATGTAGCCTTGCGTTTTATTACTGAGGAAAGCTTTTACACACACCACTGTCTTTTATATACTGCTGTTGGTTGGGATTCCTTGTGCCCGAGAAGGGTCAGACACTTTTATTCTCTATAAAGCCATCCTAGACAAACTTCCAAATTATCTTACCTCTAAATTGAAAAACAGCTCTTTCCACACACGATCACAGGACTGGTTAGTTCTTGAGGTTCCCCGTGCTCATTCTAAGATTGGTACAACATAATTTTGTGTCTGGTACACCTCAACAAAGGAATACTTCACAGAATGACCTTAAATTTAAAGATACTGTGTCCATAGCACTTTTTAAGAAGTGTCTGTTTGAACATGTAACAGTGAATTGTACTTGCCTATTTTGAATGTGTTTTATTTTAAATGGATTATTCGTGTAGTAGTTTTAACCTTACTTTCTTTGTTTCAGAGTGCACCACTGTAAATGAGGCCTCAGGCTCAGTGGGTTTTTTTTTCACTGTATAAATAAAGACAAAGAAAAAAAAGATAGAAACCATAACTAGGCATGGTCAACATAGGTCAACAGTTCTGTCCTCTATGACCTCCCAAAATTGATTACATACCCTGGGACAGGCCTGCAGCCTACTCCATTGTTGGCTGAGTTAAGCCTGGTCCCCACCTTCACCAGCTTTATAAACTTTGTCAAAAAATACTCCATTAGCTTTCTATTATAGTCAATAAATTTGCAATCAACAACTTCTCTGGAGACAGTCAAAAGTTGGTGCAAAAGAGTTTATTCCAAAACAGGACAAACAAACCCGTACAACATCCCTGCAGGTAGGAGGATTAAGTCCATCCTATGGTCTGCAGACAGTCTTATATACAGTGAGGAAAATAAGTATTTGAACACCCTGCTATTTTGCAAGTTCTCCCACTTAAGAAATCATGGAGGGGTCTGAAATTGTCATCGTAGGTGCATGTCCACTGTGAGAGACATAATCTAAAAAAAAAAAAAATCCAGAAATCACAATGTATGATTTTTTTAACTATTTATTTGTATGATACAGCTGCAAATAAGTATTTGAACACCTGAGAAAATCAATGTTAATATTTGGTACAGTAGCCTTTGTTTGCAATTACAGAGGTCAAATGTTTCCTGTAGTTTTTCACCAGGTTTGCACACACTGCAGGAGGGATTTTGGCCCACTCCTCCACACAGATCTTCTCTAGATCAGTCAGGTTTCTAGGCTGTCGCTGAGAAACACGGAGTTTGAGCTCCCTGCAAAGATTCTCTATTGGGTTTAGGTCTGGAGACTGGCTAGGCCACGCCAGAACCTTGATATGCTTCTTACAGAGCCACTCCTTGGTTATCCTGGCTGTGTGCTTCGGGTCATTGTCATGTTGGAAGACCCAGCCTCGACCCATCTTCAATGCTCTAACTGAGGGAAGGAGGTTGTTCCCCAAAATCTCACAATACATGGCCCCGGTCATCCTCTCCTTAATACAGTGCAGTCGCCCTGTCCCATGTGCAGGAAAACACCCCCAAAGCATGATGCTACCACCCCCATGCTTCACAGTAGGGATGGTGTTCTTGGGATGGTACTCATCATTCTTCTTCCTCCAAACACAGTTAGTGGAATTATGACCAAAAAGTTCTATTTTGGTCTCATCTGACCACATGACTTTCTCCCATGACTCCTCTGGATCATGCAAATGGTCATTGGCAAACTAAAGATGGGCCTTGACATGTGTTGGTTTAAGCAGGGGAACCTTCCGTGCCATGTATGATTTCAAACCATGACGTCTTAGTATATTACCAACAGTAACCTTGGAAACGGTGGTCCCAGCTCTTTTCAGGTCATTGACCAGCTCCTCCCGTGTAGTTCTGGGCTGATTTCTCACCTTTCTTAGGATCATTGAGACCCCACGAGGTGAGATCTTGCATGGAGCCCCAGTCCGAGGGAGATTGACAGTCATGTTTAGCTTCTTCCATTTTCTAATGATTGCTCCAACAGTGGACCTTTTTTCCACCAAGCTGCTTGGCAATTTCCCCGTAGCCCTTTCCAGCCTTGTGGAGGTGTACAATTTTGTCTCTAGTGTCTTTGGACAGCTCTTTGGTCTTGGCCATGTTAGTAGTTGGATTCTTACTGATTGTATGGGGTGGACAGGTGTCTTTATGCAGCTAACAACCTCAAACAGGTGCATCTAATTTAGGATAATAAGTGGAGTGGAGGTGGACATTTTGAAGACAGACTAACAGGTCTTTGAGAGTCAGAATTCTAGCTGATAGACAGGTGTTCAAATACTTATTTGCAGCTGTATCATACAAATAAATAGTTAAAAAATCATACATTGTGATTTCTGGATTATTTTTTTTTAGATTATGTCTCTCACAGTGGACATGCACCTACGATGACAATTTCAGACCCCTCCATGATTTCTAAGTGGGAGAACTTGCAAAATAGCAGGGTGTTCAAATACTTATTTTCCTCACTGTATATCCCCTCTGGGCTGGTTTGCCTCCTCCTTTCCTCATGATGAACTTCTTTTCCTCTGTTATTGTGTTGTTTTTACCAATTGACACTGTTCCCCAGCTGTCATTTATTACTGTATTGTTGACTTTCTACATCTTTATACTAATGGATAAGAAGTTCATCATTTAAATTTCAACTTCAGTCACACTGTATTTTAAGGTTACGCATGCTTAATTTGACACACAATTATATTTTTTAAACAATAAATATAAGAATAACATAAGTAAAGTTGCATTTTTCATTAATGCTTGGTTTCTTACAGCAATCTTTATGTTATGCTGGCTGTTTTCTGCTTATTATCTCTCTGTCGTGTTTTTATCAAGCATCTGACGCTTTTTTGCAAAGCAAGAATTCCTTCAGCAAGTTCACTCAAAGTTCACACAGGTTATAAGCACTCAAAGCGGTTTGGTAGAGGTTGGAAGTTGACAATCAAACCCCTTAATCAGTAATTAAGCATGTAGTCTTAATATTAGCAGATTAACACATCAGCAGTTCCTCATGTAATCACAACAGTAGATAACAGTAGACCAAAGCATGCACTGTCACAGTGTCGGCAGCCTCTCCTATGGTCATAATCTACAGTAGATGACAGTTGGATAAGGCAAACCATCTGCAGCCACTTCCTGCAGTCATTCCTCCCACTCAAGAATCTAACCACAGTGAGCTTGTTTCTGTGTTCATGACTACAGTTCACTACTTATAAGTAAAAACCAAAGCACATCCAGGTAAAAAGAAAATGATTAAGAATTATTAATGATTAATACTAGTAAAATGATTAAAAATGATGATGATATAAGAATGATTACTTAAAGTAACTGATTAAAGCTAATAAAACTGATTAAAATGATTAACAATGATTATTAATATTGTTGACCGATCATGCTATTTTAACCAAAAACCTGACTTTGTGGAATAAGCTGGTATCTCTTGTGCTGTGTGCTATAGACAGGACATTCTTACTGTATTGATGTATGTTTTGTAACACAATTTTCACTAATTCTGCTTCTACATTTTCCTTTGCTGCTGTTTTTGATGATGCCTTACTGTGATCATTCTGCTCCCAGAGCACACATGCCTGCTTACACACACACATGTGCTACTGCCTCCGGGCAGTTAGACACAGAGAGGACCACACACACTCGGAGCTATAGAGTCTTAACGTTGTGATCTTTACACTATAAAATAACACTCTTAATGATGACAATAGCTATAGAGTTTTGACACTGTAATCCTAACTTTACACTCTAAAATAATCCTTTAAATGATGCCAATGCAGACCACCTTCGCTCTAGCAATTAATGATAACAATTTAGGCTGTAGTGTTCTAAATTAATTCTCAACACCATCCCTGAATTATGAGGCAGCCTTCACATTGACCATATCTGAAAACAGGGAGGCATCTTACAAAATATGTAAAATATACTTATAGTTATGGTTATATACTAAAATGAAAAGTTCAGAATAAGGATAGAGTAGTTACGTCTGTTTCAAATAACTTGGTTCTCTCTGCTGGTAAATTTGAGAATTAGCGGTATATCTATTTTACTTTTTCTATAATAATACTGTTCTCCACTTAGGCAGAGTAACCAGACCAGAGACTGGACATGGTGGATCCACAGTTGGAGGAGCAGGTGGGGGGGGCACGACATCTGCTGAAAGGGGGACACAACCTCCAGGTGGAGCTGAGTTTTTGACCTTTATATAATTGTTGAAAAATATATATATATTATACTCAATTTAATGATCATTGATTGAAAGATGAAATCTCTTCTCAATTTACACCACCCCACTGGGGCCGATCATTCGCTCGCACGGCTTCTCTTACCACTGCTACGCAGACGACACGCAACTCTACCTATCCTTCCCACCAGGCGATCCCACTGTTTCAGCACGGATCGCGGACAGTCTGTTGGACATATCTGCATGGATGAAGGCTTGCCACCTTCAACTAAACCTCTCTAAGACTGAACTCTTGGTCATTCCAGCCAAGCAATCTATCTACCATAACATCAAACTACAAATTGACTCCGCAACCATCACTCCAGCCAAGGTGGTGAGAAACTTGGGTGTCATGATTGATGACCAGCTGTCCTTTTCAGACCATGTTGCTGCTGTCTCTCGTTCATGCCGCTTTGCTCTTTACAACATAAGGAAAATCAGGCCCTACCTCACTCAGTACGCCACCCAGCTTCTGGTACAGGCCATGGTTATCTCTCACCTCAACTATTGCAATGCCCTCCTAGCAGGTCTTCCAGCTTGTGCGGTGAAACCCTTACAAATGGTTCAGAACGCAGCAGCGCGTCTGGTTTTTGATCAGCCCAAAAGAACTCATGTCACTCCATTACTCAGTGACATCCACTGGCTCCCCGTGGCCTCCAGAATTAAATTCAAGTCTCTAATGCTTGCATACAGAGTGACTACTGGGTCTGCACCCATCTACCCAAACTCCATAATACAAACTTACATTCCTTCTCGGCCGTTACGCTCCTCCAACGAATGCCGCCTGGCTCTGCCATCCCTTCACATGAAGCAATCCCAGTCCCGGCTGTTCTCATCTGTGACACCACGACGGTGAAACAAGCTACCACACGCCATCAGAGCAGGGGCGTCCCTCTGTAACTTCAAGAAGCTCTTGAAAACTCATCTCTTCCGAGAACACTTCCTCTTATAACACCTCTAACTCCAAACCTCTAACATGCACTTCCTGTGCTCTTCTTCTTCTATCCCCTACAATGATCTTGTATAGATAGCACTTTTTGTTTGATTGCACTTAGGGATCTACCCCATTGATGTGATATGTCAGTTGTAGATCTGTAGTTGATGCTCTGTTGATGCTTGTATGTTGTTCCTCAAATGTAAGTCGCTTTGAATAAAAGCATCTGCCAAATGAGTAAATGTAAATGTAAATCTACTTTTGTTATTATTTAAAACTAATTATTTACAATTATCAAAAAATAATAATAATTGTATTTGGACATTACTCTGAATGAGAAAGAAAAAGATACCAAATAACATCCCAAAGTGTTACTAACTGTATCTTCTGTTCTCTGTATATACGCCCCTGTGTGCAGATTTAATACAAAGGGACAACAGCTGAACCAGTTTCCATTAATTTCTCTATGGCATTATAGAGACAAGAAATGTGAATTAGGCTCAACTGATTTTCTAACGTTCTTTAAAAAAGACAGTTTAGTCGTCATGTTAACCATAACCCCTATTTTTTTTCTGTCAATATGGTTGCTATAATAAATCATTGGAGATAATGTTCATGCAAATAATGGCATTTTTAAAAATGAAGAGTTTAAACACTGTCACGACTGTAACAGTGTGTTTGTTTGTTTTGTTCTTCAGAGGAAGGAGCCTGCCTTCCACCAGAGATACCAAATGCAAAATACACAGAAAACCAAAACGGTTGGTATGAGGACGGATCTAGACTTGGAGTAACATGTGTCCAAGGATATGAACCCAAAGGCTGGCAAGTCACCATATGTAGAAGTGGAACATGGTCCTCTGTGCCGGTCTGTGAGAGTAAGTCTGCTATACCAGTAAGCTGTAAAACTAACCAGAATAATTACTGTGCAACATTATACCTTGTACTGTATTTATCAAGTCAACAGATAAAATACGCAGAACGATTTTAGTTGACATTACAGAGTAACTTTCATTAAATCTATATGTTTCTTGGAGGAGCCAGACCAACTATTGAACATAGTGGATCCACAGTGGGAGGAACAGGTTGGGAGGACACTGAACAAGTTGGGGGAACAAAACCTGGGGGTGGAGGTAGTTTATTTGTCTGTATTAAATATAAATGAGTATATTCATTGATTTAATTCTTCTTTAGAATATGTATATATTTTATATCTAATTTATTTTCTTATTCCTACTTAGGCAGAGGAACTGAAACAGGTGCCGTAGGAGGTAGATTATTGACAATGATTGTATTATAGAAAAAACTATAGATATAATGGGAAATTTAATAATCATTAAAGTTAATCTACTTTACATTAAAATCTTTAATTTTCAAAAAGAATAATGGGGAAATTGTTTTGACATTACTCTGAATCAGAAAGAAAAAGAGTCCAAATAATATGCTGAAGTGTTACTAACTGGTGTGTCTTCTGTTCTGTGTGTATACCTTTATCTCCTCTGCATCTTACAGGATCTTCTGCCACCTCTGGCTCAAATGACAGAGACAGTCAACCTGCATTCATGTCAAGTAAATCATTCAGATCAAATGCTCCTTTTACATCACATGTATCGGGCTTTGTTTATATATTTACTATTCAAATATTTCTTCACTAGCTGACCAGTTACTGTAAAAGAATCTGTAGCCTCACTGAGTGGTTTGGGGATAGGCATGGTGTGTATTTTCTGTGATACATCCTCCCGGTGAAGCTCATCGCTGGCAGGTGAAAAGAAGCAGCAGGTGACGTCACATGGTGGCAAAGGACCACAGTGTGAGAATTACACATTCAACATGGGAAAAAAACAAGGATTAAATCGAGTTAAAAAGCCAGTCAGGGAGGTTTTAGGTAACCAAAATAATAGGCTGATGGCACTATGTTAATTTTATTACAATATGTTGTGCTGTTGTTGCTGGATCACCATTTCACTGACATACTGTGACAATGTTAAATCTCTTTTTTAATTTCAGTTGACCACTGTGGAGAACACCCAAACGTTCCAAACGGTGATGTTGTACAAGTGAATCGAATGTCTTTGAAATACCAATGTAATGCCTTTTACACACGAGTCGGTTCAGACACCGTGACGTGTTACAGTGATGGCAGTTGGTCAGACCTTCCCATCTGCAAAGGTTTAAACAAGTCAATATCACAATTTTTCATTCTCAAAGTCTATCAAAGATGTTATACCACATAATTACATATATGTGTTTTTTTTGTATTACTTTTGTGCAGAGGCATTCTGTGTCGTGGATCATACTAGACATCGTTGGGACAACTTTCAACTATCTGGAGTTGAATATATCAAGGAAGGAGAGAAAAAGACATTTCCATGCATTTATTCTTCTTGGAGCAGGGTTTTTCAGTGCATTAATGGAAGAATACATTTTACAGACTGTAAGTATATACGTAAGCTCTTCACATATTTATTTGCCACTAAACTTTTAGTTTCAACCTTTTTATTGTCAGCTACTATGTTTATGAATATGAACTAAAGTGATTTAGATATGAATCGTTTTCAGTGTGATAGTTTCAAGAAGAAGAAAAAGGAAAAGAATAAAAGGAAAAAAGAACACCAAGAACGGAAACCTGAGTATTTAGAAAATAAGCCTGGCATTACTCTGTAGTTTTCTTATTGTCAACAAATCCCATGAAAAGAACCAAACATGTCCGACTGGACTGGCACTCTTGCAGCTTGCCCCTGAGGATAAGAACATTTCTTCTCATCGAAACAGCAAAAAGCCAAACTTTTCCAACTATATGTCTCCATATCCAGCTCTCCAGCCAGCTTCTCATATCCCCATACTCCAGTTAGTTCACTCAGTGCTTTCTCATGTCATCACACCACCCATCAACAGCAGAGCTGCTCCAACCTTCTTCACTCATATACCTTCTCCCTTTGTGTCTAATATGTCTCATCTCTTTTCTTTATTTAAACACATTCATAGCATCCTTTCCTCTTCACTTTTCAGCCACCACTAATACTGCTCCTTTGGCTCCTTCAGCCTCGTCTTCCTCCTCTGTAAAATTAAACGTTTCTGTTCATAACGCCTCAACAGCATCAAGCCATGGAGTTTTCTCCACCCAACATTTTCTATTGTCACCTGTCTCATCTTTTATCTCCTTACTCTCCAAAACCACAGCACATTTTCCTTCCCTACATTGCCTTCCATCGTTGACCCTTTCCTAATGCAAACTCTGTGGCCAACAGCTATTTCCCTTTAGCCTCCGCCATGCCCCCAGTTTGCACCATTTCAGCCACTCGACCCTCTTCTGTTTGACCGTGTTAGATCCAGCTGCCCCACAACCCTACGACACATGGTTTGTGAACAGCAAAATATCTCAAACACTAATAAAAATGGGTATCTTGTCATGGAATTTGTCTACAGTAGGAAAATATAGAATAACACCAGTCTTGTCCTATAAGAACAGAACAGATTTTCCTCAGTAGGTGCAGCTAAGCAGAAATGTAGTGAATCAGCCATCAGTAACAAATGTTTGTGTGAATTAAACTACCTACTGAAATATTCACTGCTGTGCTGCTGTTGGATTCTTTTAGGTTGTCATTATTATGACATTCAACGGGTAAGTGTTATTCTTGGATTTACTTTTTTAAAGAATGTAATTACTGTTAAATTGTTTATTTATTGTTGGACAATACTTTATTTGAACTTTATCCTGCAATTTAATACCATGTTAATATTGATGAATTAGCTATTAACATTATTGCTTATTGTCTGTGTTGTAAACAGGGTTTATGCCGATAAAGCACAAGAGAAGAACAACTGCTGGGCTGACAACAAAAGCCAAGTTGGAAACTTTTGAAATACCTCCACCATAAAACAACTACGCCCAAAAACATGTTGTCTCAATTGTATTTGATTTTTTTAAAACTTCATGCACTAATAACATGATCAATATTTTGACTGTATAAGGGTCATATGGCCTACAGTAATCTGAATTAAATGTTCACTAGAAGGTCTTAACATAGATCTTTGTATTATTTTGTCTACACATTGTTCAGAACAGTCCTTCCTCTCTGCAAGCACTAGTTCTTCTTATATTATCATACTTGAGACAGCATTAATACAAACTCTTGACAAAATCCATTGTCAGTTTAAGTGCTTCATGGTGGGGTCATCATAATCAAATAAAATAAAAAACACAACTGTCCAAAGCTATTTACAGCATCTGAAGCTGCATGTTTGAAATGCAACATGTTGCTGCCTAACCGACACTGATGTAGAAGTGCAATACATGATGGTTCATTGACAGAATAATAAAATATAGAACATACAGTACATCTAAGGCTGATGAGAACGTCTTTAGTTCTGCAGGTATTTAGTTATGAACCAAATAATTGGGCAAATTAAATGATGGCACTAGTTCTAACAAAGTTAAATCAACTCACCCTGACAAGAACATGAATGTGTGCACCAAATTACACCGCAATCTATCAGATAGTTGTAGAGATATTTAATTGTGGACCAAAGTGGTGATGAACCAATGACCATGCTGCTAGCATGGCTAAACAGGATCAGGAGTTTATGCAAACTTGTTCAGGTAGTGTTATTTGTAACTGCAACAGTGGTGACTGTGTAGATCGTTTGTCATTGCACACAGAAAATGTGGTGACCTATGGATTCCATCTACAAACATTTTATCCACAAAAAAGTTCAGTTAACTTGTTTAAATTTCAAGATAGTTAACTGTAAGAGTGCAACTTGTCACTGAATTCATAGACTTCAGTTTCACACACTGTGAGCAGATGGAGGTAATTTACTCAAACTGTCCCTGATGATGTTCCGATGCACAGGTTTTGTTTATATTGTGTAAATAAAATGTAATGAACCTTCTATGACAAAGTATTTTCTCTGAATAGCTTTGCTCTTACAATGTGGTAAGCTGACATTTTAGAGATTATCAGATTTAAACTTGTAACATGCGTTACCTAAACCTGTTTGACTGCAATGCTCTTGGCTAGTTGAGTCTTACTCTCACATAATGGTTGATTATCCATGTAGATCTGGATGTTCTGAAGGTTTGTGTTCTCAGAAGCAATCAAGGACAAATATGTGTTTTTAGATCATCTGTTAATCAGAATCTGTTAATCAGAAGAAGTGAAGGCCAGGCTACATAAATAACTAAATCAGTGCAGGCAGACGACTGACCTCTGATCAGAGCAGTCCAGTAAAACATTTTGAAATTTGGACAAATACTCAAATAGATTTTTGTAGAGAGTTTCATAACAAATAAACCATAGAGATTCTGGTACTCTGGGACAAATTAATCATTATGACAGGCATTTTCCAAACAAATGTGGAATTAACAAATGACGTATTTGCCCTAAGTAATTAATAATAAGTTACATGTAATTATGTCTATTGTTATGCAACTAGTCAACAAAGCAAATGTGTAAAACTACATGGCAAATAAAGCAGTTACTGATTCTAAATCTGATTCTGAAGCCCGGGGCTTTCTGTATGCTGAAGAAGAGGAAAAAGATGATATGAGAGTAGTTTTCTCCTTTTCTGTAGGTGTGTGTGTACATGCAGCCTATTTGTCCATCTCTCCTTCGGCTCCAGAACAACAGCATGATGCCTGTGTGTTTACTTGACAAACTTTCTGGGAGAAGGCCCCCAACAATTATTAACTGGTTCTGATCTGGACTAAGCTCTCAGATTTACTGTGTCGTGGGATGATTTCATTCCTGACAAAATGAACATCAGATATCTTGGATTAGTTCTGATTTGGTTTCCAGGAGTGCTTCATGGTAAGAACATTAAATACTTTGACATCCAACCATTTAAGTTTGTTAAAAACAAATGCAGTGACTGTAGAGTAATTTTGCTTACTATTGTATTTTAGCACAAAGCGCTGCACAGTCCTGTAGTGCTCCTAAACTGGATGGTGGTTTCTTTGCCCCAAAGCAAGAGACTTATTCTCATGGAACGGAGCTCAGTTATACCTGTGATACTGGTCGTAAACCTGTGGTGAAGGGATGGTGGGCAACAAGCACATGTCAAACTGGAAAATGGTCTCATACACCACAGTGTATAGGTAAGTGTTCCCTCTGCTGTTTTACTTTGTCCACATGGTTGCTCCGTCACTCTATGAATGGCAAAGTCAGTCTGTCGGCCGTGCACTACTTTGATCCAGACTGAAATACTGAACGTGTTGGATTGATTGCAATGACATTTGGTCTAGACATTCATGTTGCCCTCGGGATTATGAATTGTAATAACTTGGCTTAATTTTCATCTATATTATTTAATTTAACTTTAATCATATATCCATAATCAAGGCAGTGGAGCATTCCCTTTAGCAGCCAATATATAATAAGTCCTTGGAGGAATATTCATGCAAATAATTGCAGAAATATTTTAAACATAAACATTTACAAATAGAGGTGGTATTATGTTTTTTGGCTTTTTCTCTCTCCTTTTATTGAGATATATCTATTTTTTGTGCACGTTAACAGGTTTGCAAAGTGAAAAAGCCCAAAGTCCAGCACAAAGGGAGTTCCCATCTCCCACAGAAAGCTCTGCTCTGAACCGTTTGAAAACAGCTTGTTTGTAGTCCAGCCCTTCACTTCCTTCACTGTGACGTCACAATGAAAACGCGTCATAAAGCTTGCCAAGCGGCTAGCGGGGTCAGGCACACCCTCAAACCAAGCTAGTCTGAGCAGAGGCCCTTTGGCTTGACTCGCCTTTGTTTGGTTTTCCATTGTAGAAATGTTGCACCTGCTTCCATGTACTTTTTTTCACATCACATCACCTCTGTCGAGGTTCCAAGCGAGCTGAGGGAAACTAAAATGTAACGTGAAAACACGACAGACTGTTGTGGACTTGTGAGTAATATAATAATAATAATAATAATGACTTTATTCAGGACTCAGAATGGAAGGTCCATAGCACACAGAAAAACCAAGACAAAACAACAACAGCTACAACGTAATAATAAATATACAGTACATAGATAAAAATTAATAAGTAACTTATACCATCTGCTAGGTTACGGTCGCAGTCTGAAGCGGCTTTGATTTGGATCACACTACCTAAATAGTATACTGATATTAAAAGTCATTGCATATTGATGGTAAAAATATGGTGATGTATTTTTGTTAAAAACTGTTGTATGTTGCACATATGTTGTATGATAAATAACTTAAAGATAATGTTTAGTTAAAGACATGTTATGAAGAGTTCATGGGTTGTATATGCAAGTTGTAAATCTGTGGTAATTGTGCTGGAGTCTTAAGAGTGGGTTTTCATTGGTTGATGCCAGTGGGCATGATAGGAGGAGCATCATGGGCATCGACACTTCACTCCAGCAGACAGTGACTGACGGTAGACACATCACAAAAAACTCACAGAAGTGCACCAGTTATCAGGCACTCCTTTATTTTATTTTCCTGCTCATAAACGACCAATTGCTTTTGGGTCTCAACGTACACGAGCCACGCATCAGGCCTGCAACGTTGTTTGAAGTGGTTTTGCCAGCTGTATGTGAGAGTGTTATAGTGTGGTGAACTGTGGTATTGTTATCTTGCAACAGAACTACTGAATTACCGCAGATCTTGTGTGAAACGAGTGATTGTTTATTTTGCATTTATTTTATTTTTCTAAAGAATAAGAGAACTTTAATCATATAGTAGAGTGGTGTTGATTATTTTATCTGAAAGCCAGTTATCATATCTGAGTTTCACATTTTGACTACAAGGGAAGCTAAGATAGTTGACGCCGGGTTTCAGTGTTGATGTTAAGAAACAATATTCTAAAAGAACTCGGGGCCCTGCCCAAACTTACTTTCTAGAGGGTAGGAGCGCTACACTTGTTTCTTACGACCCGCACTTCTCTGCTTCTGATTGGCTAGTAGTCCTTACCTGGGAACAGCGCATGTGCAACTCCCAACAAAGATTTTGTACAAGTAAGATGCATCCCTCTGTAGCTCAAGAGCGGAGCGTACAACACATAGGGTGAAAAGAGGAGCTGCAGCAATGTGCAGTATGAGAAGAATATGGTGTTTTTTGAAAGTTGAACCATGTAAACCTGTTCTGGTACAACCCCTACTTAAGATTTTGAACCTGAAAATGAGCATAATACCACCTTTTTAAAGGGTCAGTGTGTAAGAATCAGTGGTTCTTCCAACTTCAGTGTGTGTTCATGTGCTCTTAAGTTGGAATGTGGACTCAACATGGATTCCACATTCTCTCCAGCGCTCTCTAGAGCCTTTTGTCCATTTGGGCTACTGTTGGAACATGGCGCCGTCCATGTTAGAGGACCCGCGGTGTACGTAGGTAGAAATGGCTCATTGTAAGGTAATAAAAACATTAACGGTTCCTTATATCGCCCTGTGATGGACTGCCAACCTGTCCAGGGTATAACCCGCCTTTCGCCCGATGTCAGCTGGGACCCTGTATGCAGGATAAGTGTTTGACGATGGATGGATGGATGGATTCATTATATCATATCTTTGTACACTACTGAAAACATAGTTATATATATTATATTGTTTTTCTGTCAATAGATCCTCCTAAATATGACACACTGAACCTTTAAAGACTGACACCATGGTAAAAATGTGTTGTTTTCTTTTCCTCAGACGAAGCAGCGTGCCTTCCACCGGAGATGCCAAATGCAAAATACACAGAAAACCAAAATGGTTGGTATGAGGACGGACACATGATTAGGATAACATGTGAAAAAGGATATGAACCCAAAGACCAGGATGTCACAGCCATATGTAGAAGTGGAACGTGGTCCTCTGTGTCGGTCTGTGAGAGTAAGTCTGTCAGATGTTCTATACCAGTAAGCTGTGAAACTAACAGAGACCAGAATAATATCAGTGCTGTTAATTCTTAGGCTTGAATTCTCACCAGCTGCAACAACCAAGTAACCACTCACATGACAGTGTGCTTATTTTTACAGGAAGTATCCAGGTTTGCGGTGAGCCTCCTAAAATCCCCCATGCAGTCATCATTGATCAGGAATACCAGGAGGTGTTTGCTGTAGATTCAGAAGTGCAGTATGAATGTGAAGATGGATATACTGTAGAGGGAGCAGACAGCAAAAAATCCATCCTTTGCATAGCTGGAAACTGGACTGAAGGACCACCGTGCAGTAAGTGGACAATGTGCTGAGATATGCAGTGATGAAAATACAATGAATTAATATTTAGATTATTATTTTGGTTAGTTGCTTATTTAAGAATAAGCAACTAATCTAAAAGCAACTAGTTGCTTATTTAAGAATAAGCAACTAATCAAAATATTAAAAGTATTTAAAGAATGTTGCAGCAACAGGTGCATGAAAATACAATGAATCATTTAGATTATTATTTTGGTTAGTTGCTTATTTAAGAATAAGCAACTAATCAAAATATTAAAAGTATTTAAAGAATGTTGCAGGTTTGGTAGGTGGCACAGTTTATAGTTTTGTTTCTAGAAGACAGGTTTGCAACACTGATCAATCGTGTTATAAAAAGCTTAAAGGAATAGATCAAATGAGAGATTTGTGAAAGGTGTCATTCAGAGAACCCACAGAGAATCAGCCAGCTACAGTTTCTCTCAGTTCTACAAAGATTTATAGCAACATTCCTCAGTGTTTTGTTTTTTATGACCCACTATTTTAAGATGCCCTATAGAGTTTGCTTGTAAACAAAGTTTCTGTTTGTATTCAGTGTTACTCACCAAAATGCATTGTGTGTATCCTTATGTGAAATTTATTGGTGGTAAACTCTTCTATGACAGCTCAAAATATTTATTTCCATAAAACCTTTTTTATTTTTTATATTTCAGTGAGCAACTGTGGAACCCACAGTTCCTAATGGTGATTGTAGCGGGGGTTCTCGTCCAAC